ATACATATATATATATATATATGTATACATATATATGTGTATATATATACATATATATATATATATATATATACACATATATATGTGTATATATATGTATATATATATGTATACATATATATATATATATATATATACATATATATACATATATATGTATGTATGTATATATATATATATACATATATATATGTATATATATATGTATGTATACATATATATATATATATATGTATATGTATATGTATACATATGTATGTATATATATATATATATATATATATGTATATGTATATGTATACATATGTATGTATATATATATATATATATATATGTATATGTATATGTATACATATGTATGTATATATATATATATATATATATATGTATATGTATATGTATACATATACAATTATAATAAATACAACTGTTAATTTGATTAGAGCTTTGACACATATATCTTTATTGATATATGTATAAGTATGACGACTTCCCCGGGCGATATCATATGGTATAGCGAATGAATCAAACTGGGTCAAAACGTATTGTGCCCACATGCAAAGGTTGTACGCTCTGGCTTATCCCTGCGTGGTATTATATAGTAATAGCAAACAGCTACGTTCAACTCCTTTAATGGTATATTGCAAGTGCAATAAGAAGCTACAGGGACGTTAATCTACGTCGGTAATATTAACTTTGTTTAATACAACATTTACGGTACAAGATTTACATCATACATACAGCCCATGTAGTATAATATTTTACAAATGATGATTTACAGCAAACATGTGCAATATATCCATTATTACAGCTCCGTGGGCTCACTGGCAGTAAGGCGATATGGGTCCCTTCTTATTGTGCATCCATGGGTAAAGATAAACGCATGTAGTGCTGAACACGTAACATGAACGGGCCGGGCGGCGCGGTCCCGTGGGTTAGATCCGCGTTCATAATGCCGAGGAAAATAACTCTCAGAATAACGTTATTAGCACATTTTACAACTTGAGGACCGAATGTTTTTAATAAGGGCTATACAAGTGTTCATACTGGGTAGTTTATTTAGTTTAAAAAAAATTATCCAACGATTTACAGACCACTCTTTCCCAATGTTAGTCAATGGGAAAAAGTGTTTCCGGGCCCAGCAACCTAACGGAAGTGTAGTACCGCCGTTTGGCCACAACGAATATTTTCCTCAGAGTCCGGCGCACTTCCTGGGGGCTTGCATTTAACATGCATTTAAACAGTCCTTCGGTGCCACTCGATGACGTAGTATACTTGAAATAGTGGCTCTGCAGCAGGTATACTCGACATTGAGAAACGGCCTCAGTGTGGCCCTAATACTCCGTCATACTAAAGGGCCATGATTAAGACATTTTATTTCCTAAATTTTCTCGTGATATTTTATATTCTTTCTCGTTAACACAAGTTGTCTATATCTTAAAATAACAAATGTTTTTTCCACATATAATGGAAACCTTTTCTCAAGACAGATCCAAGAGAGGATTTCATAAATAACATAAAAATACATCTTGTTATCTCTGGTTCATTTGAGTTTGTATCGAAGACCGTGAGAATAATGGCGAAACAATTTTCTTCAACAATGTTAAAACCAATTTAACTAATGTACATTCATTAAGAAAGCTTTTTCCATGCCTTCCCAAACCGTTAAGTATTTAACATCAGGAAATGTATTTGTCATGTTAAAGATAACATTAAACAGGATGCTGTCATATTTTGCATTTCTATTAAATACATCATTTCGATTTTTAATCATTTGAAAAAAAAGGAAGACATTTAACTGTAAAGTCAAACAGAGCCTGAGGCTCTAATTAATGAATTAATAGAGATTAAAATGGACAAATTATAATCATATAATTATGATTATATAATAATATATTTCTTGCAGAAAACTAAGATTTGAAAATGATTTCAAAGCTACGTAAAACAGTTAGATTGATTGACATTAGAATTTAATACAAATACAGTTCTACTGCTAATAATAGAAAAAAAAATAATAGTCAGAGAAATAAAATACTATCAGTTTATTTTTTTAAATGAAGGTAATAAGAATAATTTAACAGCAGAAGTTTGGTTATTTCAACGTTAACTTCCACTGCCCCCTGGCGGTCAAGATGTATTAAACAATTTATTCACAATTACTTCATACTTAAGTTTCACTCGTAGGTAGTCATGACAAGAAATGTGTTGTAATAACATAAAAATATGGTGTTATACCTTGAAACATATGAGTGCCAAGTTAAGTCTAAAGAAAATGAAATAAAGAAAAAAATAAAGCAAAAACACAGCTGGCTTGTCATTAGTTTCTTTAATAATCTTTTTCCAGTACAAGACGCTCTTTCATTTTTTTTCTTTTTTTTCTTACATTTTATTAGGAATGCGGTAATAAAGATGTGTCCACAGTGAGCGATCGGTGAGTCGGGCTCTTTGTGCTGCCGTCAGGTTTATTTTGGTCCTTGTGGAGCCCGACGATGCTATAAACTGGAATGATTTTTAATCCTGCTACAAAAACCAATAAGAGGAATGTCGTATCAGCAGATTATTGTCACTGCGGTGCCTCCTGATCAATACAAGTCAATAAAAAATAACTAAATGATATCATCAGGTTTTTAACAATACAGTAAACTCCCAACGCAGGAAGGAAACACGAGTAAACTGGCAGGAAGTACTCAAACAGGAAGTACTTGTACACACTTGGCAAAAGATTGAAATGTACTTTAACTGAACCAGGACCCTGCTTAACAAAAATACAAAATGATTTATAGTCTGCATGTTTCTACAGGGATTTTTCCTGAAAGCATCTTAACTTATCATCTTAAATGTTGACTTTTTAATCATGGACACTGGTGCTGTCTCGAGGTAAAACCAGCAGAGGAAATTAGAAAAAGCAACAAAAAAGAAAAAGCCAATATTTCGTTTTTTGTGGTTAAAGTATCTATATAGTCTATTTGCCAGCGCATAGTCCTGTTGTGAACCAATAAATGAAGTGTTATGTTAGAAATGTATAGCACGGGTCCTCAGCACATAGAAACTGCCGGATGCTAACTTGCATATGCTGGGCAATTTGTACAATCGGCATAAGTGCGTTAATTACCATTATAGCCTGGGACAATAGTTTAAAAATTGCTTTGCCAATTTGGCCAATTTTAGACTGGTGTTTGTGGTTACTTGAAGAGGCGGAGTCAATTTCTGATATTTTCAGGATCAATATGGCAGTTTTAACCAGAAAATGCCAATACTTGAACTCTCAGTGGACTGATTTTTATAAATTATGGGTCGATTTTTAAGATTAAGGGGACTGAATCATTCGGATTGGACAGATTGCCTATTTATGTGAAAAATAATGTTCCACAGTAGAGATAATAACGTTCATATTGTACTCTATGAATACAATGTTGCGGACATTGGATATAATCAGCCCACTGAGAGTTCAAATATGGCCACTTTCTGGTTACAACTGCAATTTCTGATCCTGAAAATATCAGAAAATGGATTTGGTATCCTAAATAACATTTAAAACCACTCCATTGTCCTAACTATTGTTAACAGGTTATAATGCTTTTTACAACATATGCAAGTTAGCATCCGGCTGTGGGACCCGTACTATATATTTCTAACATAAAACGTTGAGTACTCAACATTTCCGGATTCACTAAGCTGCCAACTCGACTAATAATTAATTTAAAGTGTAAAACTTGCAAAAAATGTTTTTTATATTTTGGTTGAATGTTTAATTTTCAATAAATCATTTATTTTAGTAGGGATGCACGCTATGGATGTTTTTCAGCCAATAGTAACTTTAAAAAAAAGAAGTTGATAACTTGATGAAATATTCAAATAAAGTCAAATGAGCACGTTCTTTGGTAACAAAAACATTTTTTAAATACAATAAAATCAAAAAGATGTTGTGTGCACACTGTACGCGTGCTTCTTCTATCGGTTTGAATTAAATATATTTGATTTCCTATAGTAATAATGCTTTATTTGGATTATAATTCATAGTATAGACATCCTGATATTGCATTCGGGATTGTGGGAAACGGTATTTCGATCTGTCTGTACACACAAACTGAAAGATTGACAATAAAGTTGACTTTGATATTGGGTCCAATAAAAATCGTGCTCCCTACTTTTATTTTAGTTATTATGATTTGAGTTTAGTTCCCTATTTACTCTCATAACCATCTACTTTAATTTTGTAAATAGAGAAAAATAAAATCTGATAATTTGATGTGTTTTACTACCCTGTTAGTTGAATTGCCTTCATTATTTAAAGATTAATTAAAAACAAAAAATACAAATTTAGTTCCCATTTATTTTCCTTTCTAGCTTTTTAAAGATTCATTTGCTCATGTTAACGTAAATTAACGTTTCATTTTTTTAAAATGTTCATTTGTACCAGCTGGCGAATAACATTCGTACATTTACGAGCTAAAAAACTTGTAATTTTCTGAGATTTGAATAGTCAATGTAAATGTTTTCGTGATTCTTTTCCTCCTTTAAAGGTGGGGTAGGTAATTTTGGAGAAACCAGCTCGAGATCGCTAGAATTTGAAGAATCTGCCACTTCCTTACAGAGCCCCTCCTCCAACACACACGAATGGGCACATGACCAATGAGGGCACGAGATAAGTTTGTGCACAGATGGAAGGCTGACAGGCAGGTCGGCCATCCAGTTATTTTAGCCGGGCCGGCTAAAATGATTGGTCGTACTTTTTACAGTACTACGGCTTCCACAGATGATATCTTTGTATGGATTTTTTTGTCAAAGCACTTAAGATATTCATTGCTATCGGGATGTTAAGAGCATTCCATGGAATATAACAAAAAGTGTATCTCGAGCCGGTTTCTCAAACTTACCTACCCCACCTTTAATTACGAGAGTTTTTTTAAACAAAAAACTACCACTTTAATCTCAGAGAATTTTTCAGGTTTTTTCACTTAAGTCTGTTGATTTATTTCTCGTAATAAAGTATTCTTTCATATATGTACCACTTTAATCTCTGAGTTATTATTTTTTTTTTAAATGTAACATCACCTCTCTCCATCATCGTTTGTGTGCAAACAGTAGTGAAGTAAATTGCCTCTGGATTTAATCCAGATAAGAAACATTTGAAATGAGGCTATAAAAGTAAAAAACATTTCTGTATTCTGTTACACATTATCATGTACAAGTACTCACTGTGAAGTACTGCGTAAGGAAACACCTGAGCGCTGGTGAAATATAATACTAATATTAATACTAATATTAATAATACTACTACTAATAATGATAGTATTGAGGATGAGTAAACAGCGTCCTGGTTCAGCTGCTGGTCTCTTTCAGTAAAAAACTAAATTAAGTACTCAAGATTGGTCACTGAAGTATTTGTGCTTGTATCAGAATAAGTAGTGGGACTTCAGTTTAAAGATTATCTACAGCCCCGCCCCACCCCCCCCCCCCTCACAAACACACAGTACATGAACACACACGCAGACACTTGCATAAGAGCAAATCAGTCAGAGCACCCTGCCCACAGATATAATGCAAAAGGTATGAAAATGTAAGAAAAGATTCATAAGGAAAAAACTTTATATATAGTATTTATAAAAAAAGAGGAATAATACTTTGTTTCTCCGAGAGGTTAAAGGGTGTGGAGTTTAGCTGCTGTCGCTGCCCCCCCCACTGCCACTGCTGCTGCTGCTGCTGCTGCTGCTGCTGCTGCTGCTGCTGCTGCTGATGCTGCCGCCGATGCTGCCGCCGTTGGCCGTGTCGGCACGATCCCGCTTGTGGATCTGCTCGTGAGCTTTGAGGTGGCCCGACTGGCTGAAAGTCTTCCCACAGTGGGGGCAGGCGTACGGCCGCTCCCCCGTGTGGATCTGCTGGTGAGCCTTCAGGTGTCCAAGGCGGCCAAAGCTCTTCCCGCACTGCGTGCAGCCGAAAGGCCGCTCGCCCGAGTGGATCTTTTCGTGGGTTTTTAGTACGCCCGAGTTGCTGAAAGTCTTGCCGCACTGTGAGCAGGTGTAGGGCTTCTCGCCCGTGTGGATCTGCACATGGTTGCGGTAGCTGGACTCCTTGGTGAAGCTCTTGCCGCAGTGCTGGCAGCAGTACGGCCGCTCTCCTGTGTGGCTCAGCTGGTGTGCCTTCAGCTCCTTGGACTGGCCGAAGCTCTTCCCGCAGGTGACGCAGATGAACGGCCGCTCGCCTGTGTGCAGCCGCTGGTGCGAGCGCAGGTCGTCGGCCTTGGTGAAGCCTTTGGGGCAGTGCGCGCACACGTAGGGCTTCTGCCCCGTGTGGATCAGCTGGTGGCGCTTCAGGTTCCCCGCCTGACCGAAGCTCTTGCCGCACTGCGAGCAGGTGTAAGGCCGCTCCCCGGTGTGGATGCGCTGGTGAGTTTTCAGGTTGCCCAGCGTGCTGAAGTTTTTCCCGCACTGCGTGCAGGAGAAGGGCTTCTCCCCCTGCATGTTGCGATTTTTTCTCAACGTGGCGTTCTGGGTTTTGGTCGACCTTCCCTGCCCCGCCACCTCCCCCCGCTGACTTCCCCACCTCTGACGGCTGCAGCTCGTACAGCGCCCCCCCCTCCGAACTCGGGTTCGAGCTTCATGCCTTCCAAGAGCAGCGCGTCGGGCCGCAGCTTGTTGAGCTCGGTGCGCAGCTCGGCCATGTGGATGGACTCCAGGCCGTTGTGCGGCAGGTGGCCGGACATGTTGTCGGGGTACTCACACTTCAGGCCGCTCAGCTCAGTGGTGTAGTAACACTGCAGGTCCACGTGGTGGTCCGACTTTATGTACTCCAGCGTGTCCGTCACCTGCAGCAGACAGGCAGCAAACCATTAAGTACTCGATAATGACACCAAATCACATCATAAGTTAACACAGAAAATGTAAATAGAAAATATTGTTTACATTTCGTGATTCGTTTTGTGACCATGTTTCTGGAGATTAAGGCACATTAGATTAAAGACATTTTAAAGCCACTCAGAATAAAATTGTCAGTAAATCAACTGTGACATTTTTGCGAGAGGCATTTGGTAAATTATTAAAAAAAAATATGTGCATCATATTTATAAAATCCCACATTTAATCACTGAGAATTTGTAACACTTTTGAAAGATTTTTTGAAGACATTATAATACCAATTAAGTTTACTAATTCAATGCCTATAAGACTTAACCAAGTATTACCCTGTGTTAATAAACACGAAGTGATTCCTTCCGTATTTCCTAGTTGTTTGTAATCTTGCGGACCTGCAGCAAATGTTTCTCTGGACACTTTCACACTGCAATAAAAAGATAAACACAGCCAAGTCCTATTTTGGGCTGCATGGAAAATCTAAGTAAAAGTATGTGATTATAATCAGGAAAATGTATTTTTCAAAGTACTTTATCGATCAAAATAGTTTCTTATACACTTTCTGTCAATTCACTTAATGATTAATTTATAAAGACTAGTTATAAAGGGCTCAAATAATAAAAGTTAGGTAAAAGTACAATATCTCCCTGTGAAATGTAGTAAAGTAAAAGTAAAGAGTAACATGAAAAGAAAACATTTAAGTACCTTAAATTTGGACTTAAGTACAGGACTTCAGTAGATATATTAAGTTACATGCCACCACTAAATGTGTATATTGAGAAGTGTGAATAAAATCGATTGAAGTTGAGTAAAACCAGCAGTTATAATCCTGTTAAAGCCAACTGAACAGTAGGGCTGTACCCGAATATCCGAATATTCGGTCGTTGGCCTACTATTCGGTTTTCAATTTCGTTATTCGTATTTTTTTAGTTTTTTCCTATTGTATGCTATCAATAAAGGCAAATTGCCACATTCTTATACTATATTTATACTTTTTAATTGCACTGTTAAAATGCGGAAATATATACAATCTCAGCTTGGGCACCTGACATCGCTTTCAATAGCTAGATCTGATCGATATGGACATAAACGCGAGTGAAGTCTAATCTGACGGGAGAGAGAGATCAGCTGCTGCTGACGAGTCGACACGCAGCTCTGCATGATCACCTGCAGCGGTGAGCGGAGCAAAAGACACACTTCAGGTTAGAACATCACACGTAGCTATTTTTAATTACCTCTCAAACTACCTAAACTAGTTATAGATACGTTTAGTTTTACTGTCGGGTCACTCATTACTGGATCCGCGAGCTGCATGATACTGACGGGCTGTCAGGAGAGGGAGAGAGCGTTCCGTTTATTATTCCCGTGTTATTATGAATTACTGTACACTTTCGAATAATGTAGTTAATCTACTATAATTCGTTTGTTTAATATTTAAATCATATCAATTTGTTTTAAAGCTCAATAAATAACAAAGAAGACCTTTGACCGGCACTTTTCTCATTTTGTCCGGAAGATTTCAACTTTAACGGACATGTTGACCGGCAAAAACTAATTCTAACGGAAACTCTGGGCACAACAACTATGAAAAATCACCTGAATGCTGTAAGTAGTAGCTTAGCTTAGTTGTTGTCCAGTTGCCATGATGAAGGCTTTAACCGCTGTAAACAGTAACGTTACACATGATAAAAACGTGCACGCGCGCGCCGAATATTCGCTGCTGATGACTAACACCAACACCACTACCACCACCACCCGCATACTTTCTGTCCAGGTCTAACAGTTATACATCCAACTGATTAAGTGAGGTGGAGTTTCTGTAACTGAACTGTAAACACAGTCTGTCCACGTCCTGTGGTAACTTCCTGGCTCACCTGTGAACCAACTTTAAAGCAGCGGCATGTTGCCCTTCACTGACTTTATTAAACATGAATACTATTATTCCGGATATGACAATATAGAATAGTGCAGGAATAAAACCCGGAAATAAGTACGAATTTTACCACATCTGGTTTCCTTGTCTTGAAGTTAATGGTATTATTTAATGTGTTTTTTTGGTTAGAATTATTAAATAAAGTTTGTGGGTAACGACATAAAATACAGTAAACACCCTACTGGTGAACTTCTGAAACTTCTATGCCTCTTTAAAACAGAGGTTGCTAATAAGAAGCTAAATAACACTACTGAACATCAACACACCAAACATTAGCCGCCTTTAGCTTACCGGTGGTGATATAGTTCCTTAATTGTCTAACGTTAGCTTTTTCTTCTGGCGATTGCTTTTTCTGCTAGTTTAGGAGTGTATTATTGAAGAGATTAGGGCTGCCCTCGACTAAAGATTTTTCTGGTCGACCAATAGTCGTCAATTAAGGCGATTAGTCGACTAATCGCCGCACGTTTATGATACATTATGATTATAAATATATATAGGTTTATTTTTTCCCAAAATGGTTTCAGTTTCAAAGGCTAATAAAGAGCGTTATTATAGCAGCATGGTACGTTGTGCTTCACATCAAATATAAAATAAAACTGTAATTAACCTTTGAAATATAAATTAAATGTAGAGAGCGCATGAGAGTCACAGCGCACGGACGCAGCGGTATAAACAGCAGAAGCTCCGGTAAGGATTCTTATTGTGTGTGTGAACAAGCGAAGACACACACAGAACATTTAGTTCTAGTTTCTATTATTCATATCTGAATATAACAACCCAATAAATACTACAGAGGAAACGGAAACACTGAAAATATGAGCGTCGGCAAAAATCCCTCATGAAATTAAAGCTTTATCGTTTTCTGAGGTCAGAATGATTATATATTATAGGTCTATATTAGGGATGCTCCGATCGATCGGTCACCGATCGAGATCTGCCGATACTCACTCTCTACCGATCGATCGGTGCTCTCTAAACATGCTGATCGCGAGAGCCGATCGCATGACGTCAAATACATGACACTTTTCTCTGTGCGCGGCAAAACAAGCTCGCCAAAATGGCTTCACCGGTCTGGCATTATTTTAAGGTGTCCGAAAAAGACAGTAAAATAGCGGTATGCAACGTGTGTGAAGCAGAAATCCTGCAGCTCCACCCGCTGTGACGGACCGGTGAGCGGAAACGAAACACACAAGTTAGACCTAACACACTTAGCTATTTTATCTACCTCTGGAACAAGCTAAACTAGTTATAGGCTACATATATTTATTCTTCACTGTCGGGTCACTCATTACTGGATCAGTGAGCTGCATGAGATACTGACGGGCTGTCAGGAGAGAGAGAGAGGGAGGGGGAGAGAGAGAGGGAGAGAGGAAAAGAGAGCGCTTCCGCTCATTTCTCCCGTGTTATTATCCAAAGTTAATGTAAACTTGAATAATGTACATCATTTGAATGTAATAATTAAGTTGGTTGTTGTTTGTGGAAGCTCCAGTGAATGAGCCCCATTAACTGAGTTTTAAACATCACTTTAAATGGAAGATTTAAAGTGATGTTTAAATCTTCCATTTAGGTCCCGCCCACTCGATCGGATCGACGATCAGTATCGGCCGATACTGATTCCTGCGATCGGCCCCAAAATTGGCTATCGGAGCATCCCTAGTCTATATATGTTGATACAAAGCTAGGCTACTGCCTGACTCACTGCTGCAGTTTTCCTCAGAGTCTAAGAAAGTAAAACACACGTTGGGGATAATTAAGCTCCGTGTTTTGTTATGAAGCTGGCCTTCAGGAAGCTGCGCTCTGATGGTGTGGACATGGAGCAGACTTTTTGCCGTCGTAGTTTGCCTTTACTCGCTCAGAAAGATCCACACTTTGGATTTCCTGCCCGACCAAATTAAGTTAATGACCAGGCTCCGCTCTGAATGAAGTCTGAGGGTTTCTGGCTGACGCGTCATAGCACATGCAGCGAGGTTTATTTTTATTTTGTATATATATATATATAAAAAAAGATTTAAACTGATCGACTGATGAAAAATTGCCTCGATTATGACTTAATTAGTTGACTAGTGATTCATCGACTATTTGGGGGCAGCCCTAGAAGACATGAACAAAACATACAAGTATCATAAAAGCTTTTTTTGCCACAGATCTTGTTTTCTACAATAATCCGAGAGAACTCTTGCGATGCTAACTTCTGGGTTGGTCTTCACATCACTGCACCACTGTTTATGGCTCCAGTCCCCCTAACCTGCTGTCTGAAGCAATACTTGATGCTGTATTTCTTAGCTTACAATAAAATGTGTCATATAGAGCAGTGCTTCTCAAACTTTTTTCAGTAATGTACCCCCTTTGAAACATTTTCTCAGCCAAGTACCCCCTGACCGACCCCGAACATTTTTGATAGAAAAAGCCTATATAAATAATTACAATATAGTGATGTTCCATCAGTGTGTGATTTATTAACTCCTTCATGCACGAATTACAACAAACTAAGAATATTTTCATCTTTATGCATGAGACATTTTTTTAAAACAGATTTTTAAGTAATATATGTTTAACAAACCAATTAACAAAATGATATATTATGCAAAAGCTATAAAATACAATACACAAATATTATAATAAAATCCACTGTAGTGCCTGATGTGCAACTATACCATCCGAAACCCCATGTATGCATATACAATAAAACAGCATTAAATTAGCAGTCTCTAATGTAGTGACCACAATGCATGAAAGGGTTAAAAAAAAAAAAAAACGTTGTAACTGAAAAAAATGTGCAATTATAAACAAACTATGTAATAACACTGCAATTTTCCACCGCAGCGGAGCCGGCTCTCAGTACCGAAAGCCGGTTCTTAGCTGGCCCCACTCGGCTGCCCGGCAAGTATCAATACTTCACGCTTACGTCGGAGGTGGGCGAGATTAACCTGAGCAATAACAGTTAATCGCGAGTAGGGAAAATACAAGTTGTAACAAGCAGTAGCGCTGAGCAAAGTGACTACGTGACCACACACTTGTAAAAACAGAGAAGAACCAGTTAAGCACTAGAAAAGCACAAGAACAGATCTTGAACCCTTTGTGGTTCTAGGAATATTGTTTGAGACTCCTCAGTGCACACAAAAACATAACTTGGAGAAATAAATAAATACGGATATGTTATTTAAAACCACCTCGAATATGTTGTGTTAATGTTATGAAATGTTTTCTCATAAATGATGCGGTAAGCAGGAGGACAGAATTACATCTAAACTGACGCCGTTTTGCATTTCTATAGGTTGTAGATACGAGCATGGTTTTATATACTATCACGTTTAATCGTGTTTTATGCCGTTTGCCAAGACTTGATAAGTCGCTCGTAAAACACAGGAGGTATGGAAACTAAGAACACCATATGTGGTCAATTGTACAGCTAATATAACACAATACATGAGTTGTATTTCCTTTAACTGGTGGATTATGGATATATAGTTGCTGATCGACAGCTGGAACACAAACCACCAAATACAAACAAATAATTCAGATCCAGTCGTCATGACTCCACTCCGGAGGGATTCCCCGATCATTTCTTAGAGTTTCTCATCAAGGGGGTGTCTCCTGTCCCCGGGACAAACACACTGCCTGAGGAAGGTTATGTGTATTTTTTTTGTCATTAACCTTTTTCGGACCACTTATTTATTTATTTTGGTGACGATCCGACCTCCATGCTGCTACTCTGGTTCAAACTGCATCCACCAAACAATATGATTTATCTCGACCTCCCCAAAATAACCTAAATCTGACACGGTGTGAGATGTCTTTTTTAGCTGTTCTGTCCTCATTTCCTGCGATCTTCTTCATGCAGTCAGTCAAAATGAATGAATGAATGGGCGTTTCTTTGACTATGTATAGGCAAATATGGGCGTTACGTGTCGATTGTGATTTATAAAGGGAAACAGGCGTAGGGAGTGCCGTACGCACTTCCCTCGCCGGTACGCAATGTTTTGTGAATCGGAAAATTTCCGAAAATGTCTGTACCTATTTTTTTGCTTTGTACTACGTAAGCAACCTTCCCACGTGAATCCTACGCAAGGCGTTATAAATGAGGCCCCTGATGTTACACTGCAACCTGCCTGTGAGACAGAGTCCAACCACACATGTCCAACACATAGGCCTAATAATAATAATAATAATAATAATAATACATTATATTTATAGCCTATAGGCCTAGCGTTTTTCTACAACTCAAAGACGCTTGCACATGTCCTGCAATACACATGCTGCAGCTGCCCAGCTGCTCACTGTATGTAAACGTAAATAAATAGTATTTTCATTTCAATAATGTACTTTCTATACCCTGCTTCATAAACAATACTGACATCCCTGTGCTCCTCCGAGTCTGGGGGTCCGGGGATGTGAGGACAGCATGAGGACACAGACAGGGAGGCTGCTTTACTTCATAAAGGAAATGGCGGTCAATATTAACAATATAGGAGCTAAAACGCTTAATAACCTTCATTACGTGTTAGAGAAAGAACATAAGAAAGTTTGACAAATATGAGGTTGTTAAACGGGCAGCGGATCCGCTGTGAGTAGAAAGAGAGAGGGAGAGAGAGAGACGCTGAACTGCACCGTGCAGCAATCAGATGATCTGGAGCATAGAGAGAGAGAGCTGCGGTCCGCGGGGCTCGGCCTCGCCTCCTGTCCTCACAACTCTTATTAATCCCGGTACCGGACAATTGTTATTTGTTCCTACTCGGAACCGAATTTTGCTTCCCAACCCTGCCACTGTGCTACACTTCCCGCACCGCCCCGCCCCCGTCTAACAGTACAGAAAGCGGCGAGATGCATTTCCTTAGGAATCGACAAGCAGAACCGAAACTAATATTTCTAAACGAACAATGGCGAACACGGACAATTTGCGAATGTATTCTGCCTTTTGAAAACTGAATTTATCAATAATTTGTCAATAAATGAGGGCGAAAAACATCACTTGTCCGCCGGACGAGTCAATTGAAAGATCTACTTGTCCGATATTGTAAATAACACGTCCCGGACGGTGGGACGTGTGCTTTTTCGCACACTGCACATTACATTTCTATTTAGAGCCAATACACGCATTATTTTTGTTTAATACGTCTCACTACGTTTCCTTACATTGCCAACAAAATGAAAAAAGAATCATGTTAAGAGATGAATATCCCTTACGTTTTAAAAATATTATTATATAATATGGTCACATTACTAAAACTAAAATGACTTGACATAAATGTAAGGTCATATTGCACATATTCGCCATGGTAACGGCATAGTGATACTGCTCTCAGTAGGATGCACAGATCTAGACTCACAATTAATCCAATATCAATTTTCTGTGCAATACTGTACGTTTTTTTAACAACAAAATAAATGTATATTTATAATATTCCTGTACTTTTTACTTATTTATTATATTTTGCTTTTCTGTACTTCTTATCATTGTTGTCCCTTTGCTGCTATGACACTGCACATTTGTATCGTTGTGGGACTAATTAAAGATGCCCCTATTATAGTAGGATTATTGGAATTAGAGTAAAAACGTTCTGCCTTTACTGTTACCTTTAACTGACTATCATAAAGGCAAAAGTAAACCTACTGTGAGCAGAGGGGTACCTGGGAGATGTAGTCAAACACGGAGCTGGGCTCGTAGTGGGACTTGTAGTCCAGCTCCGTGGCATCGCTGTGGGTGAATTGGCCCAGGTGCTGGTCCCCGTGATGGCCGTGGTGCTCCGACTTGATGTAGTCGAGGCCGCTGATCTCCATCTTGATCTGCTCGTGGCCCAGCTCGGCGGTGGACAGCGGCTGGATCTCCGACAGGTCCACGGTGCAGATGGGCTCCAGGTCTCCGTCCTCCGGCTCACTCTTCACGCACGGCAGCATCACCAGAGGCTCGGCCACCTCCGGGACGTCTAGGGAAGGGGGAGGGGAGCTGCACTCAGGGGGCAGGCCGAGGCTCAAACAATCGGCCTCCAAGTCCGTCATGGTGAGGGGCGGGGCTGATCCTCCTCACCTATCTGCGGTACAACACCTCGGGTAGCGCTTGGGACCAAAACCTTCTCCGCCCTGGTCCTTCCTCCCTCCCCTGTAGAAATGTACCCGTCCTGAGTGGCGGTGGGGGGCGTGTTCCTCAGAGTGTCTCCTCACTGCTGTGGTCACCACCCACACCGGACTGGCACCAGCCTGCAACAACGTGAAAGACACCGTTTAAAGACACTTGTAGATCAATTAAGCAGCCGTAAAGATTGTTTTCCTTTTTGGTTTGTTTTGATGCGCGGAAAGTGTGCGCAAATTAGAGTGATGCTGTCGTGTATTTTTCAGGGAGCCCATAGTTTAAAGTATATTAACTTTGAATGCAGCAGTGCGCATTACTTATCATTAGACGAGGATAAACCAATCACAGCCGACAGATATCTTTACTTTCCCTAAGTCTACAGTTTGTACCGACCCCTAAAGACAAATAATGTAATGTAAAACATAATTTAGGCATTTTTTCATACTTATTGCTTTAGAAGCATGAAGTTATTTTCTATTATACATATATTTTCCACAATTAATTGTATTGTCACTCCTATGTCTCCATAGACTTTGTGGATCAGATTGCAGGTCTTTGTCTTGAGGATGGGAAGGTTATATAGATACAGATCAATCCTAGTTATACTACAGAAAAGTAAAACCAGCAGTTCAAGTTATTTACATATCTTTAGTAATTGTATGCTTGCACTGGATGAGTGTGCTTGAATGTATGTCTGTATAGCTTGTACTTTCCTCACGTTTCCAATGTCCTGTCACTGTGTCACTGTGTCACTGTGTTTTTAACACAGTGACAGAACATTGCACTACATAGTTTTATATAAAACACTGACAATAAATATTTGAATGCAAACATATTTGTAACTCTACATAGTTTACTGAAAAAAAATGACTTCACTTTAGGTAGTTCAACTACATTTAACTGTACATAAAAACATTTATTAATTAACTACCTGCACAATCATTTCTTTAACCGTCAGTACTTAATTTACATTTTACTGGTAACTCAATACTTTTACTTACATTTTAAACACAGGACATGTATGTAGTGCCGTTTTTTTCACAATGAAGTGATAATGAATTTTGCTGAAGAAGAGTTTCAGAACAGTTCTTACTATTGGTGGCTGCAGAGGCCACCCCGCACACACACGGTAAAGTTTGCAGGCTGGTATCAGCCGTTAACGTTAAACTCCGACAAGTCTTCACTTTTCTCTAAAAACAGACCGTTAAATTCCTGCCGAGCCCCGGCTGCAGCCCCTGGTGTGCCCGCTCATTCCTCTCTCTCTTCGGGCTGAATGTGAAGGGGTTACCTGTCTCGGCAAACACTCAGGTAGCCTTTCAACCCGCCACGCAGCCTCCCGCAGCAAACACAATCTGGCGGTGATTTACCCCTCAGAGGATGCCTTCACAATAACACCGCTTCCCCTGGTTCATCAGCGGGGAGGTTTAGTTCCGGTGGTTGTTCCAATCGGGGGAGAAAACTCCACATGACAGAGGAGGAACATGTATTTAAACGCGCATTTCTGGCATACAAAGACAGGGCAAGATGCCATGTCTAACAAGCTAGCAGAGCTAACCAGTGGCCATCTTGTTTATCACACAAGCAGCCTGCTAAGCTAACTAGCTGATGTTAGCACGGGGGGGAGAAAGTGAGAGTGGAGCGGAGAGGAGAGGCAGGCGGACGGAGAGGAGTAGCTAGCCTCCGCCGCTGTCCAGGGCACTATCTCGGTTTAGCATGTGGGGTGGGCTCCGCTGGGAGCTGCTGACAGCTCAGAAACAAAAGGGTCAATTTATGAAATCTGTGCTGCGACCCGCGAGGATCTGTCAGAGAGAGCGGTGCAGGCTGTGAGGAGAAGCCGGAAACTGAGCAGAGCGGCGAGGAGAGAAGCAACACACCGGGGCAGAGCTGTAAAGATCGGAGGTGCTTGCGGTACGTTACCTGCGGGTGGTCCGGTGCATTGCTGTCCGCCTCGGTCACTTGTAGCTAACTCCGCCGGACCCGCCACGTCCACCTCGGCATAACAACCCGCCGCCTCGCCTCCTCTCCTCCCCTCTATCGCTGACTAATTCCGCTCCCTCCTTCCTTTCCTCCCTTCCTTGCCTCTCTCCCCCTTCGATCCTTCTTCCTTCCTGCCCAATGGTCGCTCGTGCGCATACCCGTTCTGGCGGGTACACAGGTAACTACGGCAACGGTAGTGGTGAGAGGTGGGCTATTGTCGCGCGCAGTTGCCCGAGCGGGTGCGCGCACGGTAATTTTTGTTATTGTTACAGCATCATCTGTGCTCGTGTATTTATGTTAGCTCCACGCGCCCTGTGTATAATCACAAAGGAATGAATGAGCGTGTAGCACGCGCCCCCGCTGATCCGGGTCAACGCGGTCAAGTGGCGGTTGAAGACGTCACTCCACGGCAATTAACAAGCTCATTAAATAAATGATGTCATGAGACACGACAGGTGAATAAATATCACATCCGCAGTTGAGTATTTACATTATGTTGTGTATTACAAGTTTTCTGAAATGTTACATTTAATATGCAAAGGACGGAGGCATTCTCATATTTTTAGTAACAAAGTGTTCTATTAATTAGGCTCTAAATGATATTTGAACGAAGCCCTCTGTAAAACGCTTCGGAATATAGAGAGGAATGAAACTAGAAAGTTTGTATGTAAGTAAAATCATGTATTGTAAAACTCATACATTTTGAACACACTACAGGTGGAAAAGAGTATAAAAATCATGTTTTACCATTAGTTTCTCACATTGCATGAAATGTACACCCCAGGCAATATGATTGGCAGAAAACATTTAGACTAACTTTAGTTTGTTTATTAATACATATACTATCAACTATTTTGTTTATGTTCAATTTAGACTAGCTGCAACAACTTATACTTTTTTTTAATTAGCTTTGTCTTTAGTTGTGTTTTGGTATTTCGTTTTTTTCTTGCATTAAAATAATCCTTTACCCATAAAATGATCATTTATACAGTTGCTCAACCATGTAACTTTAAATTCGTAAAGATAACATCTTTAGGAGTGTGAAAAAATATATAGTTTTAACAAGAGACAAATCCATTTATTAATCATGTCACAAATCCCAAATGTTATTTAGTCACATTGTTTTATACCAGGGAGGCGCTTGGCGTAGTGGTCTAGTGCGTTGGTGTTCGGATCAGGGGGGCACAGGTTCAGACCTCACTGCAGTCAGCATGTCGTTGTGTCCCTGGGCAAGACACTTCACCCCAAATTGCTCCTGTGGGGATTGTCCACAGTATTGAGTATGAAAGTTGCTTTGGATAAAAGCGTCTAACAAGTAACATGTAATGTAATACCTCAGTAGCTGTTAAGCAGCAGTTGATTTAGTCTCTCACAAGAATACAAATGTTTAATAGGAGTCGGATGTGATTTTAAAAGGAGTTTCTATGAATCTTCTTATCCTCTAAGTAGAAATTCGGCTCATTTTCAGGTTCATAATTGTATTTTGCACTAGCCAATAGAAGCCCGAGTGTAATGATGTCACTATGTTACAGAAATAAACAAAGGGTTGCGTTCGAATTGTCAGTTACGCTTAGGAAGGTTCCTAACGGAGTGAAATTACCCGGTCATACCCAAGTGGTAGCCATGAAAAGAGCTGTTCGAATTCTCTAGACTAGAGGGTAGGAAAGGAGCTTTGAAACGTCCTTTAGTTTAGGAAACACTGGACCTTCCTTTACGAAAGGAAAGGAGAAAGTGCTGTCCCACAATACCTTGCGGCCGCAACATTTACCGTGACACAACATTCAGCCGTTCACGGAAACAACCGATCATGACCGAGAAATTACATCATGCAAGTTACTGTGCTTATAGTCCCTGTGCCGTAACTTGCCAAAGTGCTTTGTTTTGACCGTTCAACACCAAAAGTAGGGCTGCTCGATTATGGCAAAAATCATAATCTCGATTATTTGGGTCAATAATAGATATCACGATTATTAAAAGCGATAACGATTCATTTACTTTGAAAACATCAATTTATTGGAGAAAAAAAATTTGAACAGTATGTTTTTAACAGTTGATTACCCTGAACTTTAAGTATAATTCAACTGAAAAACCAATTGAAAAAGAAAAGTAATAATAATAAAAAAATAATCGTTTTATTTCGATTACGTTGTTTTCGTAATCGTTGCAAGCCATAATCGTAATTGCGATTAAAATACAATTAATTGAGCAGCCCTAACCAAAAGGCGAAACATAAACGTTACTTTTTTACTGAAATGATCAAATAAAGTCAACATTTCACAGTATTACTGAGCAGTATGGGGTTTCTTAAGGTGTGTGTTGGAGAAAAACTCCCTCTCGAGGGAATTTGGGATTTTAGCCTTTGCAGACCATTTACATGCACAGAAACCTATATAAACACAGTACAGAAAACCCCCAAAAAGCATAATTAAAAAGAAAAATGTTTTTGTTCCCCCATCAGCAGAGTAAATCAGACACTTCAGGCCAGGCTGGTCGTTGTGAACATTTATTGGTTTTCCTTGAATTTTAACACTAAAAAGTACCCGGTCTCATCGACTAAAACAGGTAATAGAAATTAAAAAACGCACCATCACCATAGCCTTCATCATAACATTATCATGGCAGACAGTTTGTAATGTGGCATATTTGACATTCAGACGGTGCTGCTGTGATCAACACGGGCACAAAAACAGCCAAACATACAGTGAGAATTTACTATAGTTCACTGGTTAATGATGGAGAAAGTTGGCAATAATTAACTCAAAACTGACATAGGTCACAAAAAAGTCAAAGGTCATATCAACTCTGAGTTGATTTTAACATTAAGTTTCCTTTTTCTGACCGAAGCTTCAACTGCCTGCCACTCAACTTCAGCACTTTTTAAATGTCATTTTTAAAATAGGAAACTATTGAAGATTTGGTTTTATTAGACTGGTAAATTACAAAAAAAGGGCACATTTTATCAAAAGTATTGCATCAAATCCAAGAACAATATGAACTTTCTTCGACAGACAAGAGCAAGTCAGTTCATTGAGATTATACAGGGAGTAGAAATAGATATTTAAAAATTAAAAAATAAAACTTAAACATTAGTCACATTTGCCTGTGTCAATACAAACACACAGTCTGCTTAAAGTCAAACATTTGAAATCAATAAAACAATCCCTTTCAACCCCTCATTCCCGCGTTGCATCAAATAAAAAGAGGACCTTGAATCGTTCCCTGAGGAACCCCGGCATGAAGTTCCATTAACTCCAGCTTTACTTCTACAAACTAACCATGAAGGATTTTAAGGAACCCTTTTTTTTTTTTTTTTTTTTTTAAAGAGAGAGGTCCTCTCTGCTGAAACGTAAAGTTTGTATTCCCTTCTTTTCTCAGCCCGTAGTTTTAACGGAGAGGCTGAAACATCATCGCTCCAAATGGGAACCACATAACCACTTTTCAGAAAACTGCCATATAAAATGAAAATCAAAGGAGCCGGGATCTGCTCTGTGATATGAACACATGAAATCCATCTGGTGGAATTTATTATTGGTAATTATAATCGCAACAACACCCTGAAGAGTTTTTATAAAAGTCTTGAGTACGACATTAACATTTAATATTATTCCCTTGTCAATGTTAATTCAGTAATTTACTAAAGGTCTTTGCTGTGACAATGTATGCTGTATAATTCTGGCTTAGTATTACTCATATTAGTATAAGATCCCTTTTTAAATAAAATCCAACGTACTCACTTTTACAATTTGTGAATGTCAGTTTGAAATACTATATAATTTCCTTTGCATTTGTTTGTAAGCAGGAACAACAGAAACATTAATAGCATGATGTTTTATGAAATGGGTTGGATGATTTAATTTAGCGCAGGTCTGCACTCTTTGAGGTCCCTTTCAGTTTGTTCACAATTTTCCCTTTTACGTATTTTCAACCAGAATTTCTCTCTTTTTCTATGGTGTTCTGTAAACAACAACAGGTGAAGCATTGATTGATTAAAAGGTCCCATTGTGTCGGAGAAAAACCTCATATCCTTTCTGCCATTTTCCATTTGTCACAGACAGTTCATTGTAGATTTTTATTTCAGTGAGAAACGTAAGATCACATTTATAGATACAAGGTTTTCTCCGACAGTAGCTGAAAGCTTATTCACAGAGCTGGCATGTAAAAACCAGATAACTACTCACTTGTGAGTTTTTGATTTAAAAAAGAACATCTCAAATAATAGTTTTTTTACAATATTTAATTTGGTGCTTTTTCGCACATTTCATATTTTTCATTTGGTTACTTAACTTTATATCATTACAATTTTATGTTCTCATCTCATTTTATCCTACCGTTGTTATTAATTGCATCTTCTCCGAAAGTAAATCATTTATGTTGTTTTTCTTCCCCTTTTAAGTGCTTCTAAAGCGCTCAAACTTTAAGTGTAACGAATGGAAAGATTCAAACATAAAAAGAAAACTAAAGTCAGACTCTAAGTCAAAAACTATAAGCTATTATGAAATACACCTGAAGGTTAAAATTATAGCACAGTGAGTAAACATTTTTATATTTCTAACCATTGCCAAATTGTCCCTGAATTCTTATCCAACATTAGTATTTTTGAAAAAGGTTCTTTAACCATTTACTTATCTTGGCATAAATGGGCTTCCATATTTTGGGGCAAATAAACATGTCATAGTTTGTTATTTAAGGCCTTTAAATCAGTTTTTTTTAATAATAAAAAACAATCCTTAAAGACTATCTCTTTGCAGTTTTGTATTTTTCACCCGACAGCTTTCGTTTTTGAGACATATAAAAGAAATAATAAACAGAAAAAAAAAATACACATAATTGTAGTCAAATGAGGTAATGAGGTCTGTGTGGTGAGGAACATTTAAAACACTTTAGATGTTTTACAAAATAAAATGAGGTATGTGCATAGCCGCGGGAAGTCATTTTACTTAGGGGGTGCGGCCAAAAGTGGGGAGAGATTTCAACAGTAACATGAACATAATAGTAACCGGCAAAAAAGCCCTACAATATATACTATGACTATTATATGCTACTGTATACGGCTAATTTTATTTTAAGTAAAATCATAACTATTTTATGTAGTTTAATCATTTTTGTTTAGGTGGTCGCTCAGTTTTTCAAATGTACACCATTGGCCAACAGGGGGTGCTGCAGCACCTCCAGCACCCCTACTTCCCTCGGCTATGGGTATGTGTGAACTAGGCTGAAAGTACAACAAATTAAAAAAAAGATAGGCGTTTGGAGAAATGCGGTACGGTCATTCAGATGTTAGCAGAGCAGATAATTAGCTTTTGTTATTAAAGTAGAGGCAGTTCAATTAATCAGTTATTATTAGGCATCATTAGCATATATCAAATTACAATTATTATACTGGAGAGCACCCGTGGTCATGTTGCAGCAAAATCAAATCACATGTTTTTCGAAAACGGTGATATTTTTGCGCATCACGACTACTTTCAGCTCTCTCCGACAGTAAATCAAACTCCAGCCGCTCGGCAGAGTTTTGGCTTCATATTGCTTACATATTTTTCTTTTCAAGACAAGTAAAAACAGAATCACCTTGAGGCTAGAAAAACGTTCAGTTTGCACATTTACAAAGCTTAAAGATGATGGATACGTCTCGATTGTTCGTGCTGAAGCATCGCGGAGCAGAAACATGAAAATCATGAGTTTTATATCCCTCATCTAATCCTTCTAGTCACCAACATCCCTCCCTCCATCTCTTCCTGACGTATGCATGCTACAAAAGATAAAGTCACAAACAGATGGAAAGGTAGGAATGATTAAAAAAAAAAAACACCAACACAAGTTGGGGCATTTTAGATTAGTTGTTCACAGTTTAATTTTGATCTTTTAGTGAAATTAAAGGAACAAATTATTTTATCCACTTAATCTGTTTATTCATTTTTGATAGATTTCACATAGTTGAAAACGTATTATTTCTGTATATGTTTTTCTTCCCCTGGCACCAATGGGCTACCATATTTTAAATGCCCATTAAGTGAAGGAAATCATAAAAATGTGAAGCCAGTTTGTAGAAAACAGCCATCAAAGAAAACATTTCTTGCAGAAAACATTTCTTTGTTGATTTTCTGAGATTTATATTTTCAACTCATTTTTGTTTTCTTGGACAGCATTACTATACTAAATATAGATTTACATTTCTGACTCATAGTACATTTTTTTCAAATCCCTAGAAAAACGCAAAAACTGATAAAAAGCTAGGAGCCATTAATAAAGCAAATTGTGGAATTGGTGTTTCATAAGCGTTTTTTAATTTACGTTTTAAAAAATGGATCTAAAATGTCTCAATCGTTATAGGTTTGTATAGTATTGTTTTAATACAACTCAACATTGAGGCATCTTAAGTTATCGACTCCTATTTTTGTTTATTATCTTTATTTTGTCAATTTCCTGGCAGTTAAGGGCTTCCATACAGATTTGATTAATATAAGTAAAGAAAATGTAATAATCAGATGACAATATTTATAGAAGCAAAAAACATGTTCTGTAGTAAACTATGTGTGGCCAAGTTGATTTTGTTTGTCATTTATATTTAAAATCTTTAATGGAAGCTTCTTACTTGTTTTGCCAGGAACATCTTTCAATTAAAAAAACATACTGTTAATTCAAATGTAAATTATTTGCCTGGCACAAATGGGAATCAATGCAGATCAGATCCATTAAAGCACATAAAAGCAAATTAGTTGTTAATTAGTTGAAGCCAGAAAAAAAAACAAAGGTAAACGATCAGAAATCGTATATAAAAAAGGTGGTTGTGTTTTTTTCAGGAGGTATCCGTGTGTTAACATGAGGTCGCTTAACTGAAGAATGAGGGATGAAGGAAGGATGTAAGCAAGGAGAGAAAGATGCAGAGGAGGAAACCGTTGCAGATTTTAAAAACCTTCCTCTATTCTCTCGTTTTATCTTCAGTTCTGTATGTAAAGTAAAAACTGTACATCAAAAGATTCACATTCATTGAGTCCAAAACAATCGATGCCACTGACAAAGTTTCTCTTCCTTTTGCTCGCAAAAACTTGACGACAAAAATGCACCTGACGATAATCAAAAATAAGTCTGTTAAGAGAAACAATAAAAGGGCACTTTGAAACAAAAACGGATAGAAAAATCAATCTTCCTGCAAATTCACGTATTACAGATCCAACACGAGAAGGAGAAAAACAACGATCATCAACAGGAAGCTCCGACCGTCCGACTGCTGAGGCCACAAGCTTATTGCAACAACAAAAATAAAAAATAAAATTTCCTGCTGGGACTCAAACTCACCTCATGAGGTGGGGCCCCGTATCGTGTCCAAGAGGGTATTTTACAGGATTTAAAAAGAAGAAGAGGAGATGCGTGTACAGCAGGAGGAGTTTGAAACATGAGGTTTTTCATCTCCGCTCTTGATGCTTACTCAGCAATTATTCCCTGTTCAGGTTCTTTATTTCCCGTTTTAAATCCAGAGTTGGGATTAATAAGTGTTTTGTGGAGTTCAGATGTCTACAAATCTTTTTTTATCAAATCTATTCAGCTTTCAACATTTGTTAAGAGTTAAAATCATTTTTAAAAAGCCACTTACATTTTTTTTTTATATCTAACATACTTTTCAAATGATTAAATGAAAGTTAAATGAGGGGAAAAACCTTTTAAAAACTATTATTTTCAAATAGTTTAATCTAAAACATTCTTTAATTGCAGCCTGGAGAAAATAAGCAAACTATTTTCCAAATAAAAGCCCCCGTATAACATTAGTATAACAGGGGGCCCGGAGTGTCGAATTTTCAAAATAAAAAAGACCTAATTTGGTAATACTACATTAACAGGGGGCCCCAATAAAGCTTATTTTCAAAATAAAAGATAGCATATCATAACAGTAGTTTAACAAAGGGGGCTTAGACAAAGCTGGCTTTTTTATTTATTTAAAGCCACTAGATTGTTTCCCTATTATAATTGAATTAGAAATAGGAACATTTCCCTTTAGTTGCAGAGAATGGGAATAATCTCTACATGTTCTACCTTTTATGCTTTTTTAAATAAGAAAGCATTTTTTCTTTAAACCTATTCACTTCAATTTTATCTTCCCCTTTTTTGATAGTAGTACAGTTTTTATCTTTTATAGCAATGCATTTCAATGGTGAAATAAAATAAATCTTTTCCCTCTTTGGCAGATTTGTTTGTTTACATGTCGGACCCCATCGCTAAAAAACTGAATCCGATGGAGGAGTCGAGTCTATGGGCTTTTTGAGTGTTTTGTTGGCTTGAAAATGTACATTCAAAATGATCAACGTGGAAAAAAGCTGAATATTTTGATACTCAAAAAAAGAAAAAAAGAAATGGAGCTTGAGTAAGCGATTTGTCAGCACCTGAACTTGATAAATCTGTGTTTGTAATGTCTACCTGGAGCCGGATCCAAGGCAGAACCGAGATTGGACCTGGACTCCTTCTGGTCCTGGGTGATCATCATGTGACCTTCTTCCATACGCTCTAAAATGGTTGTCGGGTACCAAGGACAAGGGATAGACAGATTTTAGTTCTTTTCAATCTTTATCTGTGGTGATTTTTAATCTTTTTAAAATAATAATTTATGTTTTGAGGGTCTTAATATTAGATATTATTGTTCAACTTTGTTTTAAACCCTCTTTTAGGAAATAAATCAAAAGAAAGTTTATGTTTTCTCATTATGTTAGTGCTACTTGAACAATTTGTAAAATAGTAATACAAAAATAACTTTTGTTTCAGTTGATAGGATCTTCACTTTAGCTTTTTGTAATTTCATACAGTAACTTCTAATGGGAAATATAAATAAATAGTGGAATAAATAATTTAGTTGCAGCTCTAATAATAAAGTGCTCTACAGAAGGCCTGGAGTTGGCTTCCATATTTCAGAATATAAGTACTTTAGAGTGTAAAACCGGTCTATCCCTTTGGTCATGTTTGTTTTTTTCAAAGCGTTCTGGAGTGGGATCCTGATGAGTTTCCCTTCATGGTTCTGGTTCTGCTCTGTGGATACTGCTGTGGTCTTTGTTTAGCTTCTTGTTGGAGGTCAGGTCCGGGTCCCGGGGTGCTGGGCCCGGATGTGGCTGTGGAGGCGGGTGGCGGAGGAGAACCTCTTACCGCAGGTGGAGCAGTGGAGCGCTGATGCGTTGCTTGTGGGCGCAGGGGACGCCGTGTCGACAGCGGCCGTGTTTTCCGCTGCGTGCGTCTGCCGGTGAGCCTTCAGGAGAGACATCCGGCTGAACCTCCGGCCGCACTCCTCACACTCCGACCAAACCCGCCGCCGCTTCTTCTGCTCACACAGGACACAGCAACAAATATTATATTATAGATACATGAAAAAGTCAGCTGTTATGTTGATCCTTTCTCCAATAACAACTTATAATAACAACTTAAAATTAATAATGACAGAGATAACAAATTGATTAAGACACCAAACATAAAATCTAGTATGGGATGACATTTTGTTATAATGAACCTGTAATAAGCGTATCTTTTATTTGAAAACTAAAAACAAACCTCTTTCCTGGCACACAGATCAGTAAGAAAGGGGAAGTTCTTTTAAATATCTGTTTTTAGGACATGCGTCCATGCTTTGTGCATTCATTAATAAAAACACATTTTTAAAACAATATCTGCAGTTTAAAAAAAAAAATAATAATTTAAAACTGGAAGCTTTCATTTCAAAAGGTGCTGGATTATTTACACAACACTATCATGTTTTTATTTTTAATATTAAAAGTTTGTATACTCAAAAACATAACTTACAACATATAATCATTATTTCACTTACAATTGATAAAACAAGCAACATTTGATATATTTGAAATACTGAAAGATGCTTGTTTCCTCACTCACCTTCCTCCCTTTGTCCTCCTCCTCCTCCTCTTCTTCCTCCTCCTCTTCGTCCTCCTCTCTGTTGGGTGGGGGCAACAGGCGGTGCGGTTCGATGGCTTCTCGGAGGTCGTGGACTCCCTCGATGGCGAGAGCGACCAGCGTGTCGTTGGCGGCGTCCTCCTCCTCGTCCAGCAGCTGAGACGGCAGCGTGAGGAGGCGATGAAGCATCGAGGCTGAGGAGCGCCGGCCAGAAGAGCCTGCAGAGAAACATTAAGAAGGGAGGAAGGTCATCAGCAGAGGTGGAAGAAGTACTCAGATATTGTACTTGAGTAAAAGTAGAAGAGTTTAGGAATACTCTGTTACAAGTAAAAGTCCTGTATATAAAATGTTACTAGAGTAAAATTACAAAAGTATTGGCATAAAAATATACTTAAAGTACCAAAAGTAAAAGTACTCATGATCATAAGTCTGATTTAAGTGTTGTTTATATTTCACATCATTAATCCAAATCTGTAAAGTAACTTAATGTATAAATAAATGCAGTGGAGTAAAAGCACACAATTTACCTCTGAATTGTAGTGGGGTAGAAGTAGCATAACATTAAAATACTCAAGTAAAGTACAAGTATCTCAAAGTTGTACTTAAGTTAAGATGGACCTTTATTAATCCCCATGGGGGAATTCAGGGCTTTAGAGCGGCAACAGAGTGAGAGTGAAAACAGGACAGTACAGACGAGGTAAAAAAAATATATAATACTAAAATTAAAGGTACATTAAGTACAGTACTTAAATGTACTTAGTTACTTCCCACCTTTGGTAATCAGATTACTGCTGAGAAAGTAATACATGCACACTGGGAAAATACAGTACTGGTTAAAATCCTGCTTGTATTGTAGTACAAACTGTGCAGTAAGATTTCCCCGTCAGTGTTTTAATGTTATAAATCATTATAATACAACTGTCCAGTGGAGGGCAGTACTGAGAGACACGCGTCAGTAATAGATTTAAAATATACTTAAAGTACTTATTTTGCAGTATTATATATATATTATTTAATTTTGTTATAATTTTGGATCCATTAATGTGTTCATCACTTTCATTTTGCAGTTGGTAATAAAGGAGCTCATGTTAAATACTTTATATAAAGATAAGGTAGTTTAGTCTGTAATATTCATTTATTATATTTCATATTAGTAATCTGAAACTGCAAAGTAACTTAGGTACTCAATAAAAAGTACAATATTTCCTTCTGAGATGGAGTAGGAGTAGCAAAACAAAAACAATAAATACTTCGAATTAACTTTTTTACAAGTACTGTGGTTGATTAAATGAGAAAGATTAAATAAAACACCAAGTTTAACAAAGTGTGAGTATTTCTTTCTATCCTGTATTCACATTATTGCAGGAAAATATAAAACACTAATGATGTGCTTTTACCCTGATGAATATCACTGCCCATATTCAGAATGATCTGACTTTTAAAACATTTGCGGTAAGCAAGGTTACTTTAATTAATAACAATGCCCCACAACATAAGTACACAAAGCTGACATGTCGCACTTATCATTCATTTCACATAATTTTACATCATAAATTCACTTGTTTGTGTCAGCTCCTGAGCTGTATGTGGCCGTGTCTCACAGTGCTGCACACTGGATAATGCAAGTGTTATCTTGCGAAATTAAAATACTTCTATGTGTGATGGAGCAGTGATATTTGGCCAAACACCAGTTAGTTTAGTCATTCACACAGTCAGAGTTTTTTCTTTTTGACTTTCTTCCTGAACTTTGCAGCTGAAACTATGTTGCTTTTCATCCTGGTTAAGTTTAACTTGTTCAAAATAGTTTAAGATTATAGTTTACTTTTCATTACGCAGCACCCTCCACTGTCAGTACTCTTCTCCATGTTTGGGATTGATCAAATGCTGCTAACTCTGCCTCTTTTTCTCTTTCTCCGCTCTCAGCCGGACTTAGAAACCCTGGTTGACTTACCGAGTTGATAACGACACCAAAGGACCGTTTAGCCAGATCACGTTTGTCAGGGTTAGTTAAGCCAGCGAACTCAAAGATATCCAGGGTCTGTTGGACTGGCCTCTGTTTTCTGCTCTCTCAGGTGTGTGATGTTTCCGTTTATGTGTTTGTGTGCAGAGGGTGTGTTTCCTGTCACACAGCCGAAGGAGTTCGGGCTCACCTGTGGGGCTGTGGGGGTGTCCATGTCGGGGGCCCGAGGTGTCCCTCTGACTGCCTGCAGCCTCCTCATCTGGAGAAAACACCTCCATGTCCTCCAGAGGGGTCCAACGGGGGTCCTGCTGGGGGGAGGAGGGGGAGGGCTCCAGGGTCACAGAGCGGTTGGAGAGGGGGGCCGCGTGCTCGACCCGGCCCTCACCCAGACCCCGCCCTGTACCGGCCCCCGCCTCTCCATCCATCTCCTTTATCTGCCACACGTCGCTGCACCACTTCTGACCAAAGACCTTGTCCAGGATGGGAACCCAGTCCTGAGCGACGGAGAGGACAGGGGGGCGCCCCAAGTCTGAGGGGGAGAGGGGGAAGATAAAAGAGGAAGGAGGAGAGAAAGAGGAGAGAAGGCGGGAAGGATGAAACTCTGTACTCTTATTATGTAAAAAGAGAGGGCCCATTTGGCGCTTTCACACCAAGTACTTTTCCCAGGAATAGTTCCCGGAACTTTTCCCCGGAACTTTTCTTTCCTGGAACTATCTAGTAAATCGCGTTCACACTGGAATAAGTCCCTGAGGGAGCCGCTGACGTCACTTCTTCTTCTGCTTTGGGTTTACTGGCAGGCCGCAAACAACTTCACGGCGTATACTGCCACCCGAAGTCCCCGGCCGGAAGTCCCCGGAGTTGGGGACTAGATCAGTCAGGCCCTGGTAGTCTGTCTGTGTCAAGGCGCAGCAAACTCCTCAAGGTCTGCTTGGAAAGGCTCGGGTGAATGTGGCAAAGTTCTCCATAGGTCTAGCCTCCTCATTTTGCTCTTAATGTGAACGAGATTGATGCATTTCCTTCCACGGAACCTGCCTGGAGCACGCGTGTCAAACTAAAGTTCTGAGGCCTCCAATGGAGGTGGACAACAAACCTATAAAACACACTATAGGAAAGGGAAAACCCCAAAAAACATAGTGGGGCCTCTTGTTTTGTTTTTTACACTTTTTATTATTAAAGTCCCAAACAGAGTTTCCGTTAGCCGGTAATTACCGGACTTTGACCGGTAAAATATGCTGAAGACCGGCAAATCCAAATCTCTCCGGTCAAAATGTCCGGTCAAAATAATTTTCCCTTCGCACAATACCGCATCAGTTGCGCCACTTATGTGACAGACAAGAATAGTATGTGACAGACAAAAGAGTATGTGACAGACAAGAATAGTCCATTCTAATGTCTAACACTTAATGTGGAGAAAGAGATGTCCTGTATGGGTTGATTGTGCGTTGATCTGTTGGTAATGCCTCGGGGTTCCGGTAGGCATGTAAACAAATGCATAATGCTGCGCTATACTTTGTGGCCTCACCCGGTTGCATAGCGACGCTTATTGTTTAGGTGTCTTGATAAGCAGGTAGTCATATCATTAGCTAGATCTGATCGATATGGACATAAACGCAAGTGAAGTCTAATCTGACGGGAGAGAGAGATCAGCTGCTGCTGACGAGTCGTTAAAATATATAGGTTTCCTACGTTTAAAAAAACCAATTTCCATTTTCAAGTGTGGCCCTCAGTGAAATTGAATGGGGGGGCTCACCATCTGCCTGTGGCGTCTCCTTGGACACGGGGGCCTCGGCCAGCTCCTCCTGGGTGTCATCAGACCCACTGGGGGACACCGAGTCGTTCTCAGATCCCCTCCTCCGACCCCCAGCTCCTCCTCTCCCCTTGTCTCCTCTACCCTTGTCCATCCTCTCCTCCAGCAGCTGCTGCTCGCTCTCCATCTTGGTGATCTCCAGCAGCAGGTCGTCAAACGAAGCCTCCACGATCTTCGTCAGCTCGTGCAGCGCGAAGTCCAACACCTGTTCCATCACAGACTTCAGCTGATCTGCAGGGGGGGGGGGGGGGGGCAAGGGACACCATCATCATCTATAATTTATCATATATTAGAACAGTCTTTATTCTACCAGACAATATTTGATTTTACATTCAGTTTTAAATATATTTTTTCTTAATCCTGCATTCAAATTGAATGTATTTTGCCTTATTTTATGCATTTTCCTTTTTATTTTAAATGTATTGTATGTTGAAGGATTAACGGTTTTATATGCAAACAAGCTGTAATTGTTTTGCATTTTACAAAATAGCCTCGAGTCATAATCAGTAGCCAGGTTTATTGTTCAACAATAAAACACAAAGGTTTACTGAGAAACTTTTTGTTGAATAAAAAAAAAAAATCTTTGCCATCCTTAGGGGGAAAATGTCCACATAGTAAAACTGCTATGAAGATATTTCATATTAAAAGATAATTGTAGAACGATTCAATGCCAACTGAGTTATAGGTATTTTTTTCTACTTTTACTGAGATAATGTGTTCAACAAACTTTAGTCCTGATCATAACTGAAAAAACAACCAATTATCCAAATTATAACCATTTCAATTCAATTTTCTCTATACTCAACGCTAGGGGCACTTATTTTACAAATCAGATTAAACGTCTCGGAACACTTTTGTTTATTTTTCCTCACTTTCTTTAAAAACATTTGTTTCATGCACATATTGAAATTATCTTGTAAACCTACTTATTGTAATTTCGTCGTTCAATAAATCAAATCGAGCTTTAAAAAGGAGTAAATCGGGTGTTATATCAGGAGTATGTTAAGTCACAATTAATAGTTGTATTAAATAAAACTATAGAAATCTGTTCATGTGTGAGAAGCCTAAAGTAGGCGGTGTCGGCCACTAACGTCTCGACAGTGACGTCAGAGTCCAACTCCCGCCTGCTCCAGCCTGATCCAAATAAGGGCAAAGAGGCGGAGCCGAGGCGGGACCTGCTGCCACCGAGCTGGAAGCTCCAGAGCTAGCTGAAGCTACCAAGCTAAGCTAATATGCTCCCCGTCTGCACACTGCCGTCGCATTTTACGTTTCTAAGGTAAGCGGACATGAAACTATTCAGCAAAACAATAAATAATAAACTAAGTTATTGAGTTTTTAGCATAATACTTCAGAATCTTAAAATCCCTTGACGTTTGTATGCAATTGTGCTAAATTCAACACTGGAATCAAGCAAATATTAATATGTTTGCATGACATTAGTTATTTATATTTTGCTATCACTTAATTATACGTTTAATACATTTAAGTCAAGCTAAGGTACATGTGATGGTAGCTAGTTAGTGCTCTTACCTGTGATGCCTCCTCCAAACAGCATTATAACCAGACTATCATTAAAACTATAAGTACCAGTTCTAGGCTGCAGTCGAATAGTCCAAAAATCAGCTCCTAAATTCTAACCCTATCGTCTATCCCTTGACCTCTGTGTGAAACGTCATGGGGTTAAGGGATAGTGGATAGGAGAATTCAAAAGGATTTAGGAGAAGAGACTGCGGTACTTTAGAGAATCCGACTGCACTTTCACTATCCGACGTGTTTATGATGCGCCAGCGGACGTCATAAATGTGCGTCTGCTGCTGTGGGAAAACTATGGAAACTACAGTTTTCTATACAGCGGACTACAACATGGATGTATAATAAGAATGAGGGACTACTGTAAACTCATCTAGAGACTCTGCACCGTGCTCTGATGCTGTTGTTTTATGCTTTATGAACGTGGACAACAGAGAAACATATTCTTCATGACCAAAGTTGGAATTGAAATAAAAAAGGAAAGTGAAACTTATGCTCGTCACCCTCTCCCTCCGGTCCACATTAATACAAATGATCCCAATACGTATGAACTATGAAAAGATCTTAAAAGCAATACAAATGTATTTATTATAAACGTTAGTCCTTAACATCTATCACTGTGTATATCACCATTCAAACATCTTTTTAAAAATTGAACAAACCCCACACAGCTCAGTAAAGACTGTGAAATGTTGACTTTATTTGATCATTTCGGTAAAAACTAACGTTCATATTTCTCTTTTTGATTATAATACTGATGAAAGTTCAAAACAAAGCACTTTGGCAAGTTACCACATACGTTTTAAAAAGCTTAATAAGCACCGTAACTTTCATGATATCATTTCTCGGTCATAATCGGTTGTTTCCGTGAACGGCCGACTGTTGTGTGCCGGCAAATGCTGCGGCTGCAAGGCATTGTGGGGCAGCATTTTCTCCTCTCCTTTCGGCGAGGGGGGTCCAGTGGTCCTTAAGCTAAAGGAGGTTATAAAGGAAGTTTGAAACCTCCTTTCCTATCATCTAGAGAATTCGAACGGCACTTATCATGGCTGCCACTGAGGGACTTCCGGGTAATTTCACTCGGTTAGGAAGGTTCCTAAGCTAAATGGACTATTCGACTGCAGCCCATGATCCTTGACTTTAGACAAACAATTCAAAAGACAAAATCAACTAAATGTATTTAAAGACCAATCTTTATTTGAAGGTGCCTCTTAACCTGAGATATTAGTTATACAGTAAAAGTATTGACAATCTAAAAAAAACTGAGCAACTCAACAGTTAACTTTATATTTCTTATTGTGTAAAGCATTTATTATTTTCATTTTTCCCCGCTCATATTCAGTGTGGACGGATTGAGACAGCGTGGTGTCCAGAGAGCTGCAGAGACTTCAGGGAGAAACTTCAGTGGGATGGACATCCTGTCTGTTGGTTTGGCCGGAGAGGACCAGGCCTGATGGAGGAGCCCATGCTGGGCATCGCCGATACCAACTGCACAGGCCTAGTCTGTCACTTTATTTGACTAAATGTGTTTACATATACATTTAATAGGTTTAAACCTTCTATCCATATGTGCTTTTTATTTAAAACATGTTTGATTAACTTTTGGTTCACATTTCAATAAATTGAATTTGCACTCCTTTTGTCCATTATTCTTACTGAAAATGTTAGATTACACATTCACATCTGACTGAAGATTGGCCCCATTTATTTGTGACGTTGCAAACTCTGCGGTACAAGGCACAGGTGTTGTGAAGCTCATAAAGTGAGGCAAATATAAATAATCAGCTGATGGAGTATAGATGTGGAAATAGGTGCATTCGATCAGCTGACTGTGTTTTTCGCCACACTTTATAAGCCTGACAATAACCACACCTTCTCTGAGGTGCAGCGTCACAAACAAATGATGGTCATGATAGACTACAAAAATATTTGGTGTGCAGATCTTTGTTTTCACAATAAAAGTGTAGTTTCTTAGTGAATCTCCTGTACTGGTCTTAACATCTCATAACATCAGCTTTTAATTTTCCTATTGGATGTTTTTCTTGACCCTCAGAGAAGGAGAAAATGTTGAATCGTGTCTTTCAGGCATGTCCTTTCCTAACAAAAATGACAGGAAACATAAAACATATTATTGCAGAACAAGTGTGTTATTTATGAAAGAGGTGTGTTTGTGTGTTTAGGGGCTGTAGATATAATTATTTTGTAATTGTAATGTTTTTTCTTATTTCAACAGTGAGCTACAAAGACAATGAATGAACAGTATGACATTCATCAACATTGAAATATATTTTATTATCAAAATAATATATAACTGTTATCAAAACTTAGTGCAACTGTAGAAGCTTGCTCTGTTGTCTCACTGAAAGAATCACTTTTACCACGTTTTTTACAGACAATATTGAGAGATGAATAGTAGCAGTTCTCACTATGTGTTAAATAGCTTTGCTTTCAATACATTAAATTAGAAAGCTGACAGTCATATTGCTTGTTAATATCTAAATGTAACTTTTTGCATGTAAAAAACCCTCAACTTCACTGATTTGTAGGTGATCTAGTATTTAGTAATGTTTAATGGAATGTATATCAGTGTATTAAAGTCAATACTTCATTTATTTAAAATCAATATCTTTCTTGATTCTTTGTACAGTATGAAAAAAAAGAGTCTTTGTACCTGTGCTGAAGTTCACTGCTGTGAGGAGTCCAGTTCTATCTCTCACTCTCTGGTCCAGCCTGTCTGCATCACCTGGACACTTTAAACAAACAGATATGTAAAGTACCATGTGTACAAACAATATAACTTATTCTCTTCTGTTGAACATGTTGGATTGTGTATTGTCAGGGTCCTTTTTATTTTACTGTAACTTTGGAAGAACAAATGAAATGCAATGAATAAGCTTAATTTGAACTGAAGCCCACATAACGTCTGATCTAATATCTTTAACAAATCATCCCTAAAGCATTGACTAGGCTATTCATCGTCCTTAAATGCAGGCATTAAGTTACATGTTCACGTTCTACAGCCACAATTAGTCGGTTGCACAAGTGTAATGAAAATTAAATAAATAGTAAGCATTGGTATTACCAATGCTTACTATTTATTTGATACCAATTTGGTAATACAATTAATAAAACAACAAAGTTTGGGTTCGTTCTTCAGATATGACTGTGACGTTAACGTGTAAGCTCAATAATGAACTCCAGCTCAACAAACCATATTGTAATATCTAAGTAATCATCTTGAAATATGACATTAATAATTGTAATATACACACACATCTTATTGTGAGGTTGATTTCACATGCACTACGCTGCTATTCAACACTACTTTGACGTTAGCTTGTCTACATACTCGAGCATAGCAAATTTAAATTAACCTTAGCGATGCATAAAGTTACCTACATAATAAAATATCTCTCTAAGTTACCAGGATGACTTTATTTTACCAACCTCAAACAGAAGCCGTATGTTCTACAGTTTTATCCCACTTAACGCTTAACACTTAACACTTCTCTATTTTGTTTTAACTTGGAGGCTACGATTAGCATTGTTAGCACAGATGTAGCCAGCTACCACTCGCTAACACGCTAACCCAAGCTTTAACATTCATTACGTAGCTGATTAAAATTGTAAACACATAAATAAAGTACTCAAATTTCACTTACCGCAAAACCGCATTCATGCACCGTCTGTTTTAATCGCAGAGC